CCCCCCCCCCCCCCCCCCCCCCCCCCCCCCCCCAATATTTGAAAATGTTCACTTGTTGTTCAGGTCATCAAGGCCCGCATCCACGGTCTGATCGAACGCGAGTACTTGGAGCGCGACGCATCCCAGGCCAACCACTACAATTACCTCGCGTGATGACGTGTGGCGGCGGTAGCGATTTTGGGGGGTTGGTCAAACACACTTGGCGTGCATTCCTCGTCGTGTGATATCACTACAACGGTCTCGCGTGATGGCGTGTGTGTGGGGATGGTCGAACGAACTTGGCTGGCGTTCCACATGATGCGGGGTATTCTACGGTGACCAGGGCCCGGTGGTCGAACAAACATGGCTTGCGTGCGTTCCACGTGGAGGGGGGTATTCTACGGTTGCCAGGGCTCGTGTTTGTGTGTGGGAGGGGGAGGTACTTTTCACACCCCCCCCCGCATCTGCGCAGCGGGTTCGGTCTGCAGCATCCGCATGGCGGGCGTGTGTTCTGTCATGTGTTTTCTCTGCCGTCGTGCCTCTTCTCCGCGTTGGGGAAGCGCCTCTGCTGGGGTGTGGAGGACGGTCGAGGTTCTTCGTTCGTGTTTGTGGCAGGATGTGTGGTTCCGAACAGGACGCACGAACGGGTCGACCAGAATTAGACAACCCTGAAAGTAGGCCCAGTGGGTAGAGTGGTGGCTTGCGTGTGTGGTATAACTCATGTTGTGTTTTTTTCTCTCTCGTTGTTTTAGAGTGCGCGATACACACACACACACACAGATTCACGACACGCGAGTGCGCGTGCCAGCCCGGCTTGTTTTTTTCCTTGTCCACGCGTACGCTTGACGGGGGCCTCTGCCTAACACCCGTTGCTTTCGTTCGCAACGGCCGCAGTATTTCAACGTTGTTTTTCACAAGTGTTTAGGCTTGAGACCGAAAAGCTGGGGATGGTGTTTTGCGTGGAGGTTCCAGCGGAAAGCCGGATTTGGGCATGTATGTGCTGTTCGGCACGATATTACCAAGGCATATCATAGGGCGAGTGGCCAAGGCCGTTATTGCAGGAACCTCCCCCCCCCCCTCCCGCTCAACAGACCATGGTGACTCGCAAAGTTATCACTGATGCTTGACTGCCGGTCTATCTATTCCATTTTTAGCGTCGGCTTTAGCTTCCGCCTCATCTTATTTTGTCTCCAGGATACAAATAGCGGTCGTCCGCGGTGCTTGCATCATCGTGCGGTAACCGGCTCGTCCGTTTCCCTCCGACCGCGCCTTTGGCTGCGAGCGCGGAAGGTGTAGGGTACCAACGGCGGCCCACCCTGGGATGCGTTTTTGGTTAGTCTTGGCCCCGGCTCCGTTTGTTTGGGGAGGGGGATATTTTTCGAGGCGACAATTTGGTATGTAGCTTGCAGTGTGGCGTTGCTTAGAGTGTGTGAAGCGCATGCATGTGTGACGACGAAGAAAGAGAAGAAAAATAAAGAGAAATAACAACCTAGGAAGACAAGACCGACGCGGAAAGTTTCAGTCAAGAAGCAGCGTTTGGCCGCTTATGTATCATCGTTCGGATCTCGCTCGTGAGTGCAGCCTGCATTCTCAGTCCCCAGGGAAGGGGCTGTAAATGACACCAGCGCCGAACGCCCGACTGTCATCGATTCTTTTGGCGGGGAATCTGTGGTGGTACGAAAGCCGTTGGTGTCGTCGGACTGAAAAGGGATGGCCAAAGCTTCGAAAGACAGGAAGTTTGTCCGGCGCAGCTTTTAAGTCTACTGACCGTACTACGCGATCTACACGTTCCGACGTACGCCAAACACAGTCCACGCTAAGCTGTATTCAAAGGAACAAGCCCTTCGGCCCGTATCGCCTGTGCGACCGAGGTCTATCACCGGTAGCGTAGCCTCTCCCGGCTTTTCGAACTTTTTCTTTGTACACGTGTAGTCCATGCATGTCCACGAAGAAACAAGCATTTGCCGCGTTGCAGTGCATGTGCTCTTCGAAGCAGTAGCTTGCTTCTCCATTGTAGGCGCGGAACCGATGCCGGGAACGAAGCGAAACGCGCTCTTGTGGATCCCATGGTCTACATATATGGGGAAATAGCTCCAGCTACAGTACCTCCTACGGGACACGTGATATATATGTAGTGCTGTGTGGTACATTTATTGTAGAACGAGCCCATTTCGCATTTACGCAGGCGTTTCGCGAAACCGTTCCTCGCTTTCGACTAAGACAATGAGCGTTTCAACGATGATGGATACATGCAGTCTCGCCGACTGGACTCTTGGTCGGTTCAACCCCCTCACCCGTAGTCAAGATTCAGTACCACGCCACTCCACATGCCGCCGTCCGACGCCACAACCGACTCGGGACGAACCACACAACGGCAAGGCATACAGATGAGGTAAGTGGTCCACCGATTTGAAGAGAGTAGACGAGTCTATTGCAACCGGTCCATGGTGGCCGGTTACTGTCGCAGCACCGCTGAGGATCGATAGCAATACCTCTCCAGGAAAGTCATCTCCCGGTCTTGCCCCAGGCTGGACTATGAATCAGCGCTTGTGAGGGGGCTAGCTGTTTCAAAGCTGCTGCGTCATTCGTGTTTTGTACTCAGGCGTAAATACCACGAAGGGTACGCAGTGAAGGTGGTTGCGCCATGCTAGCGTGACGGTCTGCCCTCTTTGGCGCATGCGATTGATTGCGGTTGTGGCATGAGACTGTGGAAATCTGGTCGGAGCAGTAACCTGTGGCACGTTTTCAGCATATCGACGAAACTATGTGGTCACATATGGTGGCCAGCGCGTCTATCCTTAGGCGTGTTGACGTACTCGGTAGGTGCGGGGCTCATCTCACGGAGTTGATGGAGAGAATCGCTCCTCTTTCGTGTGCTCTCAAACAAAATGCCCGACGGCCGCCACGTGTTCTCCTTCTTCGTGACTACCTTTTTTTATTATCGTTCAGGGAAACACCAGTTGGAGGGATTGGGGGTCGATGGACGGCTTCCATGGCGGCACGTTATTTGAAACGATGGACAGAAAGGGTCGTGGAAATTGGTTTAGCAAGGGGCGATCCCACGCAGGGGAGAGTGAGTCAACGAGGCACGGGTTTAGCAAGGAGATCGGGTATGGACGGGAGATTGTATATGGTGGGAGAAGGGTCGCACGAGGGGTTGCGTTGACGAGAGGAGCGATGCCACCCACGTGAGAGCGATTCAACGAGGCGTGGACCGGCAGGCAGGTAGCCAATCGAGCCGCGGCTCGGGTGGACGCGAGACAATAGGGCGGGAAATGGGCGAATGGGTCGGGCATCGGAATGATTTGTCGAAGAGCGCCGCAGCGCAGGTGCGAGAGAGCGAAGGAGTCCCGGGGTGGCAGACATGGAATCGGCGGTGAAGCCAGGAGCTCCGGAGTACATCCGATGGCATGGTCAAGAAGGGGGTTGGTTTGGTGAGGAGAGATGCCACGCAGTTCACAGCATGTGCACCAGGAGCTGGCTAGAAGGAAAGGAACCGGTGTTGCCAGGGGTGGCATGGCGACAAAAAGGTCGGGGATTGGGTTGGTTTGACGAGTAGCGATGCCACGCTGGTGCGAGTGAGTGAAGAGAGGATGGGCAGGAGGAGTGCAACAAATCGGAGTAGCCAGGAGTTTGGGTGGATTTGAGATGATATGGCAGGGGGAGAGTCGGGGAAGGAGCTGGTGTGAAGCGTAACGATGCGGCGCAGGTGAGAACGATCAAGAGGCATGGGTTGGGAGGTGTAGCTATGGGCTCGCGTGGACCCGAGCTGGCATGGCGGGAAACGGGTTGGGGATAGGACTACAGTAGTTTGGCAAGGAGCAACCCCACGTAGGTGAGAGTGAATGGGCGAAGCGTGGGTTGGGTGGAAAGGATTCGGTCTCGCCGGACCCCCGGGTAGGCGAAAG